CAGAGGACTTGTGAGACTTTTTAGGGAGTTGTAGAGAAACGATGGTAACTTGCTAGTATAAGCAACCTGCAGGTGGTGTTTTCCTACTCTGTTTTTCTGTTCTTCTCAAGGACTGTTTGTGAGAAAGATGTTTTTGTTAATTAGCCAATCAAGTAGAATGTGCTGAAGCTGTCTATAAAAGAGGAGAGTTATTTGTATTAAAGCTGCTGTTGTGCAAACCAGTCTTCTGGTGAATCTGTGTCATTTCTTGCTCAACAGCAACAGGTAGTAGCTGAACCAACCACATGTAACAAGAAAGAGTAAAGTGATTAATGTAGGGCTGAGGAAGATGACAAAACCCTGATGTATTAGTGAGTGTGCCTACAATGATTACTGGGGGGAGGTCATAACCTAAATCATATACAAAATGAGCAGCATAGCAACAGAATCTTATTATTCCAAATTATTACTGACAGTTGTTAGTACTTCTCAATTGTACCTGGTGAAGGAGAGGACTGAATGAAGGAGAAAGGTTGGTGTGCATAGGCAGACTGTGAACAGAGTGACTGACACTACTGCAGCTGCTGCAGGCACAAAGGGGAGAAGGGATGCAAGGGATTAGAGCCGGAGCTGAAAGAGGAGATTAATGGGTATTTTCAGGAAAACAGTGAGAAATTCATGTGGGAGGCTAGGGTAGGCAAGATTAGAGAATTCAAACCAGATGGGATTGGTTAAATAAGGAAGAAATGGAGAGGCCAAGCCTGGACATAAGCATTACAGTTTGGTCACTGTAGTGTGCAAGTGGGCTAGTGAGACAAAGCATGGAAATTCTACAGTTAACTTCTTTACTACTTCTACACTCCTCCCTTCACCCAGAGTCCTATCCCTCAAGGGATCTGATTCCTCATGCACAGACCTATGACCTTTGACAATTTAGGCTCCTTCTGGTTTTAGCTGATTTTTTTTCTTCCCTGACCTCACTGAAGGAAAGCACTTCTGAGAATTTTGTCTATGTTTAACAACACAGGTTAGCCAGGTTAGTGAACTGCTTAAAGTAATTGAACACGAAAACAGGGCACAGCATGTAATTTCAGAGATTCCCTCCACTGAGACTGAAACTAACCTTGGAAGAAGTCAGTGAATACTGAAACTTATCAGATAATTTTTCTGGTTGCTACACTCATAATATCTGGTACATTCATCTGCTAATTTGCAAATAAAAAGCATACCCAGCGAGTATTAAACTGATTCCTCTGGTTGGGCTGCAGTACGGGTTCTGCATGAGTGCAGAAAAATAAATTTCATCCTCATATGTGATGCCAGCTGCTGCTCTAATGCACGTAGTTTCCTGATAATGGGAGTTCTGACAGTACTCACTTGTTCAGGGGATTTATTTGCTCTCTTTCATTTAAATAAGATTGTTAATACATTTGATTTTCCTTTACTCAGAGAGGTGGAAAAATATGGAGAACAGATCTGTAAGACATGGACTGTGTGGTCAGTCCCACCACCTGCTCCTCTTCACTTGTATCATTTCACTCATCACTGGTAATTTTTCAGAATAAATGTTTAGTATTTATTTCTGTTTATGTGTTGATTTTCCATTTCTTTTATTTTTGTTGGTATTCTCTTTTCTTTAATGATTTATTCAAATTAATATATGTAGCTTAGTCCCATGGCTGTTGTGGAATCTTTGCCTGCAATCTTGTCTCCTTAAAGGATAAGTTTTATTTCACTCATTCCTAAAAGCATCTTAGTTCAAAGCCACCAAATCTGTTTTCTCTGTTATACAAGATCCAGGCTGCTTTGCTGGAGCATAAGAGCAGCTGTCAGCTCTGTCTGACAGTGTTAGAGAGTTCCAGTGGCACCGAGTGTGTGCCACATGCCTGCTGCCTGTAAGGAAGCTCTGATACAGCTGCAGCTTTTAGATATATTCTCAGCTTTAAATAACTTACCTCTACATCTGTGGTCAGCCCTAGCACATTCCTCAAATGTAAATAGAGCTTGGTTTCCATCAGGATCCTGTAAAACCATAAAGGCTTTTCCTAGCCATTCTTGTGCACTATGTGCCACACCAGATATTTCTAAGATGTAGCAAAGATCATTTTGTGTTGGTGATACAACACTTTTTTTATTACATGCAGAGCAAGTTCTCAGAAATAGAACTTGTCTATTCTTGGGCTTGTATTTCCATTTTTTAAAACATAAAACCTGCTACTTCTCATTTCTGTTGCGTGTACAGACATTTTAATTTTCCAAATTACTATCCAGTAATTCCAAATTACTATCCAGAAGCAGTTGCTTCTAAGCTCCACTGCTGTTTCCAATTCTGAATTGAGGAACACTTTTCATTCCTCCACTTCTTTCTAGTACTTACACAAAAGGTGTGTTGAAAGCAGTTCCAGTCCAAAAGACATGTTGGAAGACTTTTATTTGGCAGCCAATATTTCTTTCAGATACATAAAATTGCAATGTTTATAGGTTTGGTTTCATAAGCTTAAGCAGAAAAACTCCAGTTTTACTGAAGGGGGTGGTTGTATGTCCTTAAGCAGCTGTGCAGCAGCATTCCAGTTAGTCACTAATACAGGGGCCAGAAACAAGGAAGTTCATGCATTTTTCTTCCTGTCTCTCACCTAATGAGGCAAAGTTCAAGCTGGTATATTTAAGATTTTAATGCAGGGGTGTTTTTTCTCCACCATAAAAAAACCCCACCAAACCAAAACCAGCCACCATAAACAAACAAAAACCCCAAACAATAAATCCTAATAGATCACATTTCCAGCTCCCCAACTGCAACATGCATCAAAAATGCTGCTTGAAGGGAAAGTGGCAGCTACCAGTTCTGTGCAGTTCCCTGCAGCTGCTCATCTGACCCACAGGCTAAGTGTTCACTGCAAGAAGCTGCTGCTGGAAATGCTGAATTATCAGAAGCCTGAAGGCCACTTGCCTGCTTAGCTCTGCAGTGACTGCTGGCATCCCAACCCAGGGCTTATGGTTTTGCCTTCAGCTACGGAAGCCAAAGGAAGACAAGGTACTGACTAGGAACTGGTGTGCACCCTGAGTTTTTGTTGAACTCTGGGAGTGATGGTGATGTGTGATAGCAAGTGGGCAGAGCTGTGGTTTTGACTTAGGAAGGTATGTGTAGATGACTAAGATAAGGTATAAACAGCCACAGAAACAGGTTAATGCCTAAAGTGATTCTGTAAGGAAAATTAAAAATACCCTTGATTTGTAACAGTTTGACAGTGAAAATTTTCTTTGGTGAGGTCAGTAAAGCCAACTCCTAAATGCTGACACTCAAAGTTTGTATTTCTCAACAGCTGCTGTAACTACATCTAAATTACAAGTTGCCAAAATATTGTATGGTGGGCATAATGAGCTGCAGGTGTATGAATGACAAGTTATCTGTTCCATTGCTTCCCAGATGTGATTTTTTTTCCCCTCAGGGTTTCCTGATGAAGACAGGAATGCCCTGAATAACCTACATGCTGTTCTGGTCACCCTTCCTGCAGTCCTGTGATCCTTACACACACACAGAAAGCTTACAGTTAAAGCTTCAGCAAGGAAAGGGTTACCTTACGTAACAAATAACAAGCAGCTGTCAGCTGTGAGCTTCAGGAGATGAAAGAGAGAACAGTAGTTCTTGGTGTAGGAATGTCTGACCTGCTTAAGCTCCAGGAAGAGAATCACTCTTCAGGAAGATGAAAGAGGTACCTTGCTCACATGAATAAGATTAGCTGTGGCCCTGCTACAGAAATAGGCAACTTTATCTGGGTTAATAGGCCTATAGCAGAGGTGAAGAGATGACCAGATGGCAGAGCTCTGGAATGGAATAGAACTGGTTTCCTCAGTTTCTAAACAGAGTGATGAAAAGCTTAGCAACAATCGTGGAGTTGGAAGATGGCTCTAGGTTTACGAGGAGGTAAATTTGTAACAATGAGAACAATTCCATAGGCAAGCAAACAAGCAACTTGTCCGATTCTTGACACCTTCAAGACTGTCTTGCTGGAATATCTGTTTATCTTGGGGTCAAGATTGCATTCTCCCCAATTTTTTTAGAGTGTGAAATACAAGATGTCATGTCATATAACCTAAAACTCTCTCTTGCCTTAAAGCCTGCAACCCTCTCTCTTTCAGATAGTGATTTCCCATAAAATACTAAAGTTACTATAATCTCTTTGCTATTCATAGTGTAAAAATTACTTGCCATGATTAATAGCAAAAAAAAAAAAAAAAAAAAAAAAAGCAAAATAATTTTCATTTCACCCTGAAATGCCAAGGGAAATATTGGCAAGCACTATTTCTAGACCAGGCAATTCAGATGGAAATGAAAAAGCATTATTAAGCTTTGGTCAGTAAATATTTATTTATATGAAACACTATTCAATCCAGTCTCTCTAAGTGATTGCTTTGAAGCTTTTTGTTTCCTTCTAGTAAATAGAAGCAATTTCTCCTCAAAGTAATTATCACCCACTCAGGTGTCATTGTGCCTTCCTCTCCCAAGTAGCTCCTCTTGTGTGTTTAGGTAGTTACACATCGTTTCACCATCTTTCTTTTAAGGTTGTGCGCTCTCCAAACTTTATTTCTATCGGTTTTTTACGACTCATTTAGACATTGCACTGGGAGCAACTAAACCAAAACGAATTGTAATAATCGTCAACATATGCTTTTTATCTATGATAAGTCTTAAACGGTATAATTTCTATAATACTTCTGTCTGCCTGCTACTATCAAAATGCAATTTACTTGTGATTGTTGAAAATTATGCTTAACCACATCTTCCATCTCCGGTAGGCTCCTGCTATCCGTACATCCATTTCCGTCTTGCAGGAAGTTTTGCGCTAATCGGTTCTTCGTGATTGCTATAAATGCGCGTTTGGTGGAGCCAGGATAACAGAACTACAGTGATTTTTCGGTTTTCCTTTCATCGTGAAACAATCTGATTAACTAGGTAGTGGACACGCGCCGAAGTGATTTCAGCACAACATCCTAAAGGTACCATTAAGCACTAATTAACTTACCGACTCTCTCGAGATGCTACGGCATGAAAACCAGCTGTTAGAGCGAATTTAGACGACAATGTCTATTCTTTCTTTCTCTAGTAAGAAAAGCCCTCTAATTCCCGCTTTAGGCGTAGGGGCAGAGCCGCGGCGGGTGACCGACACCTCCCGGCAGGTGCGGCGCCTCGCCCGCCCTTCCGCAGCCGCTCGCCAATTCCCGGAGCCGCTCCGCCGCTCCCCCGCCGGCACCGCGGAGCCCAAGCGCGGCTCCTCCGTGGCCGTTCTCAGGCCGGAGACCCCCGCCCGCCCCGCGGGCTGCCGCGCCGCTGAGAGCCCGGGAGGGGTGCTGGGCACCGTGCGGGGCCCCGCGAGCCCAGCACCGGTACTCACCGAGGCACCGGCGGCTCCGCGGCCGCCCTCACGCGGCGCGGCCCCGAGCGGCGCGGCCCGGAGCGCGCAGGCGGCGGCGCGCGGGGAGGGGCGCGGGCCCTACCTGGGGGCGGCGGGCGGGGGGCGCCCGGCCATGGCGGCGGCGAAGGCAGCGGGACCCTCCGCTCCGGCCGTGTCGGGGCAGCGACGGCGCGTCCCCGGCGCTGCGGCGCCTCCCGGCCCTGCCCTCCGCCTCACTCCTCCCCCGCCCGCCCCGCCGCCTCCCCCGGCCCTCCCTCGCGGCCGAGCCCCGCGGGGCGCTGCGCTGCCCGGGGGTGCGGGCCGGCCTCGGCACGGGGAGCCCCGGCCACCGCCGTCCCCGCAGGGCAGCGCCGTGCCCGGCGCTCCTCGCACCTGCGAGCCGCTGCCCGGCAGCCGGTGCTCGGCCGGGACATGCGGGAGGCGCCGCCGGTCGGGAGCTGTCCGCCGGAGCGATGGAGCTGGCGGCTGCAGGAGTTCAGGACGGCTGCAGAAGTTGCTGGCGTTGTGCTCCGGCTGCAGTGTGGGAGCGGGGACGTGACAGAGAGGTGCTCCTTGGCTCCAGAGAGAAACGGGCGATCCTTGCCGAGTCCTCGTTACGAACGTCATGATGTTCTTGGAGCCCCAGCCCCGTAAACCATGTGATTTAAATGACGGGGATTTCTTTCTGGCTGTCTCAGATGTGACACTCAAGCATTTAGAGAAGGAGCCTAGAGTTAACTGTAACTTACGTCTTGTTTTGAGCTCATTCAGACTATTTCATTTGGTTACTTTCAGCAAACTTTTCCTGGTTTGTTTGCTTTTTCTTTTCAGGAAAATGCCGAGTGTGTTGTGGCTCGGCTCTATCATGTTTGCATAACCATGTCAGGGAATCTGTGCAGTGCAAATGATTAGAAGTGGTCTCTGGTCGTGAAAGGAGAGATTAAAAGCACTTGAATCACAAGAGAAGGATGCACGGTTCAAAACATTTCGAACCCAGTGCCTCCTGGGTTCAGCAGGAGTCCTTTTGCCTCAGGTGTGAAATTCGGAGGGCTGGAGGCAAGTGGTATCACCTTGTAGCTCCTGGCAAGATTCCACTTCTGCTGAGATTTGTTTTCAATAAGTTTATTCTCAAGGTCAAAGCCCAAGATATGCCCTGTCCAGTTAGTTAATGAGTACTGTGCTTCTATTAGTTACATAGCAAACACTCAACAGGAATCCAGCAGTAAAACCATGGCAAGAACTTACACAAATCCACAAATGCTGCTGGAAGCTTGACTTGTGTATGGTGAGCCCTGTTCTATAGTCAGTGCTCTGTTCAGAGATTTGATGAGTGAATTCAAAGACAAAGAGGAAGGGCAGGGGGCAAGGGCATTAAATTCATGTTTGGACAACCTTTTTTTTTTTTTTTTTTTTTTTTGCAATAAAGATTCAGTGTTTCTCTTCTTTAAATACATCATTCCTTTCCTACACCTTGCTATTCCCTTTAGTTGACACATCATTATGAAATCATGAAGTTTAGTGAGTTTTGGAAGGGCCTGGGGCATGTGGAGAGAATGATTTTATATATTAAATCAGGTTTTCTTCTCTGTTCCAATTTACAGTGCGGAAATTTCTCAACCAACTTTGGCTAGAGGCAGTGAATCAACACTGTTTGTTGTTAAGAAAGAGTACCTGAAACTTAAAGGGTTTATTATTGATGACTTCCACATAATCAAGAGCAAGAAGTTTCATCTTAATTTTTAAATACCTCAAGATTTTGTGCTAAGAACATGGGTTACACCTTCTGTCAGCATGTGAAGTGACATAAGAGTCAGAAAGGCTAACAGCTACGTCATGGTTGCTAAAGGTGACTCAAAGCAAAGAGAAGTACTGGGTTTTAAATGTAAAGTGGAGAAGCTGAGGAAATAGAGACATAGCAGCCTAGCAGAGGGATTGGACTAGATGGTCTTCAGAGGTCTCTTCCCTGATTTCTGTGGTACTACCTGGGTGTCTCTTAGGCTGCATTTGGGCTACTGATTAAAGCTGGTCAAGGCTTACTTGCTTTACAGATGTGGTTTTCACATTCGTATGCCTGGGTTTGCAGAACAGCTTCTTCAGTATTTTTGAAATGTTTTGCTTCTGTTGTGAAGGGGAAGGACAGGCAGATCTTCAGTTAGGGACTGAGAAAGGAAATGACTATTTTCTCTCAGTTATGTTGTCATTCCAGAAGTTCATAACAGGTTTTCTACTCTCTAATGTCAGATTTTTTTCTCTTGTAATTTGACAAAAGGGAAGAGCTCTGAAACAGAAAAAGATAGGAGAGGTTTTTCCCTCATTAGGGGTGAGACTATATGTTGCTCAGTCTCGCCTTTATGTTTGATTTTTTTTCTCTGATGTGGTAAGGCTCTGAACCCTCATTTTTCTGTCATAAACACTGGCATGCATCAGTCCCTCGCTCCAGCAGATAGCACTGATGTACTGGTTCTTTGTTTGATTTTTATTATGTCCTTGATGATGACGTGAAACCCTCAGATTCTCCCCATGTAATTTGATTTCTTACCTTTTTTTTTTTTTGCATTAGTAAATCTTTATTTTCTGTTTCCATCATCCTGCAAAAATTCCACAAACCTGTTGCACAGACATGCCCTCTTCTATTGCTTCTTCTCACTATTTCAGAGCCCTTCCTTGAGCCAGCCATTACAACCTGATGCCTTTGCAATCTACAAGAATTATTCTTTTCTCAGGTAGCCAGCAGCCTCTTCACTGAAAGCCCATAGTCTTTATTTCTGAGGAATTTAGCCAAGTACTTCTTTGTGCCTTTGTTCTTATTCCTTGACAATGTTGGCACATAGCCTAAAAAGAACTATTCTTTTTCCTGGAATCCAACTTGACAGAAGAGAACTGATTACTGTCACACATTGAGTTGTTTCAAAGCTGTCACCAGGAGTGTATTTTTCTCTAAGCTTTTAGATAGGAATTGGCACCAGGAAGAGAATACTGTGGCATTTTAGTTAGCTGTCTTTATATATGTCAGCCTAGGACGCTGTTCCCATACTGGATGACAGAAGGTTATGGCCAGAGAATACAATATTATTATATTTTAAGGGTACAGACTATTGCAGTTGTCAAAATTTTGCTGATTTCAGCTTTTATAAAAGCCCAAAACTTAAAAATAATTAGTCAGCCCTTCTGCTGGGAAAAGAAGCAGAAGAAACTGCTGCAGAGCTGTTAGTTTGAACTGACAGAAACTGAAACAATAGCACCAAACCTAGCTGACTGTCTCCTAAGAAAATATGTCAGTCATTCCTGAAAATCAGAGGGAGCCAAACTTACACTAGGAGTTTGATTAGACTTCAGCCATTCTTTGAGCTATTCCACACCCCATCTGGGCATGGTCCTGCACAACCTGCTGTAGCTGACCCTGCTGGGCAGTGGGTTGGACTAAGTGCTCTCAAGAGATCTCTTTCAACCCAGAAGATTCTGTGCTTTATATGATTCTGTGCTTCATTAGATTTCAAGTTTTGTTCACTTGCAGTGAAAAGCTCTCCCCAGAAACTCTACTTATGCATGACTTGGTTTGTCTCAAGAACTCTACAGTTCTGTACTGATCCTGTAACTGGATGGTATTTTCAGGAATAGATCAATGTTGTAGGGGACTAGAGCAAACAGAATTTTTCTTTCCACTTCTCTTTGCTTGTCCTTTAGATGCTTTGTACAAAACTCTCCTAATTAAAAATACAGAGGTGGAAAGCTTAGCATGTTGCAAAAGCAGGATTAAAAACCTGTCAGCATTTTGGCATTTTCTGGACATAGGTATAATATTTCCATAATAAATACAATATTGTCAAATCCCAAGTACAGGGACTTGCATAATAAAAAAATTGGATGCAGTTAGGACAAGCAGCAGCTAATCCTAATAGGGGCCTTTGGACACTAGTGTTAATCAACAAGTATTTTAGGATGAACCTTTCTTTATCTTCCTCACGCATGTTTGCTGTGCAGTTGGTGTGCACACAGATGGATATTTAGTTATTTGATGGATATTTAGTTAGTCCTTTACAATTAAACTATATCCCCTTTCCAATGAATATTAAAGGGGTTCTACATGGTTGCCCTGTAGTTACTGGAAAGTTTTTTTAAATATAAGCCATCTAGCAGGGTTTATATTTGTCTACAAGATGTTTGCTTACCAAGATGGATATTACAGCTGGCTGTATTACCACGTGTTTGATTATTGTGCATAAGCAATGACCTTGTGCAGTCAGGTTATTGATGAGGTTGCATAATTCTCTTTGTGTTGTTGCTCAATAGATTGATTGAGGACTGACACTGTAGAGGGACACCTCTTTTACCCAAAATACCAGGTGTATTTTGCTTGTAGAGTTGCATTGGTTAAATTATTTGCATTGAAGATTAGGTTATTATCTATTATATTAATTCTTGTATGTTAATATGTTTCAGACAAAGTTTGTTGTCTGGTAGCTTGTTTGTTTGTTTTGTTTGTTACTTTCATTTGATTTAGGTTTGGAGTTCTTTACAGTTACAAAGTTTTGTTCTGCCTATCAAAGTTCTGTTCCCTTTGAGATGGGTACTTGGGCTGTGACTGAAATATCCTCAGTTGACAAACCAGAACTGAAGAGGCATCATAATGTGTTGCAACAATTAAGTAGCATGACTTACTTTAATTCATATCAGAACAGATCTGGTTGACAAGATTCTTACTGGCAATGGCCAGGAGCTTTAGAGAAAGTGAGTCTGGCCAAGATAGTTGTTGAATGTAGTTAAAAGAGAATGAACAGTTGTTTGTTGCTTCACTCCAGTCTGGTGACACAGCTCCCCACTTAATAAATGCAGCTTATTGCCATAGAGCATGGGTGCGAGATTATTTATTTTTCATCTTTGTACATATCTGCAACTACAAAGAGAATTTTTTCTAACATAACCTCATTTATTTTTGAGTTAATAGGCAAGTTTAAATATTAAACCTACTCAGTCTGTCTGCTTG